ATTTTTAAAGCAAGTGATATTTAGTCATCTGTGAATGCGAAACGTACAAAATGATAATATCTTTACTGCATGTAGTGAAAATAATCCTGCTCCACGCACATAATGCTTATTGTTCTCGAGTCATTTACTTGCAGTAGCGAAAAAAATATAAATATCTATAATATTAATAGCGAAGCTACGCTCGCTGGTTTTTATTAGTTGCGATGGTGCGCACCTTCTTCCACACGGCAACGCCCAGATTTAATTATTGCTGTTCCTTCTATTGCTTGACAGGAGCTAGTTATACACGCGTTTTAATTGGTTCCTACCAATCACTTCTCTATTATATAGAACCAGTGGGTTCCATATTGCGGTGGGTCTGTTCGGTTGCATCTCAGGAGACGTAAAAATGTGGTAAGAATATCAGTGACGCACTCGGCTTTGCTTTCTGTGCTACTGTTTGTTCTTACTTTATTTCCACGTCATCTGTGATATACTCCTAGACAGAGGCACGGCAAAATGGTTTTTAATGGCTGGTCTCCACTCGCCTATGTCACTTACAAGTACTCAAGACGAGTTAAGTTGGTAAACACTTTATCAGGGAGAGAGTCAATCACGTTGAACGATAAATCTCTAAATGAAAGCACAAATAATGGTATCAGTACATAAATGAAACATAAAAATACGAACTATACAAATAGGCAGAATAGATAAGTGGAGAGGTAGTAGCACAGATAAAGGGTGCATTAAAACTGCATAGCGCGTTTTTTTTCACAGCAGCCTTATGCTTATAAGTGGAGTGGTAGTATAAATTAAAGAGATACTGCCTTATCCACCACTATCAATCCTTATTAATATCTTACAGTCAAACTAAGTAAAACGTACCCTTCAGGATTACATTAATGATTTGATTACTTGAATATTGAACCCGTTAATCGTTTCAGGAGCGCAATAACGAATTGAATGTTTGAACATGGTACCCGCTAACCGTTTCAAGAATGCAATAATGGCTTGGTTATTTGAATATTGAACCCGATAGCCGTATTTGTTTTGAAAAGGCGGGGATCATTGTTCAAATCAGAAGTCCATTTCTGATTGGATTATGCAAACACGTGATGGTGAAATGGAACCATTTCGTGGCGTCAGACATGGCGGGAAAGGTGAGTTCGAGTGTTGTGTAGAACTTGTAAATTAAATATTGTAAATGGAATGCTATCGACAGCTTTTTTTCGCCTATTTACATCTTGACAAACTTGTAGAAATAAATTCTTGTGTGCATTCATGGTCGAAGAAAATAGTTTACGGGAAAAGCCATCGCAAGACTTTTTTATTTCGTCAATATTTGCGATCGACTGTTTTCGCAGTGTTTTTACAGTGTAGTTTGTTCATTTTCAGGATTCCTCGAATAGAACGATCTTATTGGTCTAATCAGAAATGGACTTCTGATTTGAACAATGATCCTCGAATAGAACAATCTTATTGGTCTAATCAGAAATGGACTTCTGATTTGAACAATGATCCTCGCCTTTTCAAAACGGATACGTCTATCGGGTTCAGTATTCAAATAATCAATCCATTATTGCATTCGTGAAACGGCTAACAGATTCAACAATCAAATAATCAATTCATTATTGCATTCTTGAAACGACTGGCGGGTTCAATATCTAAATGATCAATTCATTAATGCAATCTTGAGGAGTATGCTTCACTTAGTTTGACTGTAAATGTGTGCGGTGAGCTGACTACTGAGGCGTGTTAAAATGGCAAACACTTTCGCAGGGAGCGACGCAATTATGTTTGAAGATAAATAACTGCGTAAACAGATGATTAATAAATGGGTACATAAATGAGTATGAAATTACTAAGAAACTATATAAATAAGTAAAATGGATAAATAGGGTTATTCTTGCATGGATAAAATTCTCATAATTTTGCATTTGCTAATTCTTTCTGAAGAGGAACTTCACACTTAAAACGGTATATATTATGATGCCCTGTTTTATTGATTATGCCCCACTTCATTGAAAGGCATCGTAGTTTTATTGTTTCAATTGCTTTTAGCATTAACTCACCTACCAGGATTTTTCAATAAACAAACTGAACGAATAATACTAGCTAGGTTGATTTCGTAGACTCTATACATCGACGAGCCTCACGTAAAAGCTCAAATATTCGAAAAGGCTGGTTGCTATGGAGTGACGTCATAAACCGGCTAAGTTTCCACCATCGCCTTGACAGCCTTTTTCGATAATTGCTCACAGTAATCTGAGTAATTGCTTGAATTTGTACAACATGTCTATTCCTGCTGGGTACAATTAAGCCTGTTTTTTTTTTACGGGCTGGATCGGCCTATTCATATTTCAAGATTGGATTTCATATTAATATGCATACACTAAAGCGGGAAAGTTTAGTTTACCGCGGTCGAGTGCATTAGTGGATCCCTTCGAACTTCGAACAGTTGAATTGCTGCATTCTCCTTCTACAGATAAGCCAAGGGAAAGGTTTATCATAAATTTCAAGAAATGTGGCATAAGGGTCAGCAAGTTTTTCTGAAGTAGTCTGTTAGTGGCACATTTTCCAAGCGAGTTTTGCATGGTCCGGCTATCGGATTTGTAAAATGGCGGAAGCTTGGATGGCGGATATGTTCAGAAAAACAAAGTGGCCATCGCTTCTCTATCTGGAGTTGTTTCTGCCATCTTCCGGCAGAAATTCAAGGAAGGAGAAGTGATGAAATATCTTTGGTTCATCGATAAAATAAATTCGCTTAAAATCAAAACGGAGATTAGCAAGACTCGACCAAGCTATGACTCTCGCGCGGAGCTGAAAGCTGCTCGAAAGTAAGTAAGTAAGTAGTAAGTAATTTATTTATCCACATTTCACAATTGAGTATAACTCGTTTTAACGTGAACGTGCCAGGTTAAAATAATATGTATAACAAGCTAGACAATGATGATGATAATAGTAATAAAAAGGAACTATAAAATCGGCTAAACTTCAGAATACCCGGCCACTCATTTACATGTCATTGAATAAGAATAGCATCTATTGTGTTATGCCTCATTCTTCAAAGCCTCCCGACACATGTAAATGATGTGGACGTATGATGCATATATAGGAAATAAATAGGAATCAATAAGACTAAGAGGGAACAAGCTAGGGATAAAATAAACTATGTACAAAAGTTGCATTCACACTCCACACTGGTAGTCAAGTTGACCTCGTCCAGCATTGATTTAAAAATATTAAGAGATGGAGCTCTTCTTGCATAGTCAGGTAGATTATTCCATAATCTTGTAGTGACGTATTGATATGACCTATGCATGAATCTGCTAGAATAAGTAGGCTGATCAAGCTTGCAGAAGCCTCTGAGGTCATATTTATTATTACGAAATAAAAACATCTCCCTAATATTATTCGGCCCCATGTTATATAAGCATTTATAAAAAAGGCAGAGAGCATGAGAATATCTGCGATGCTCTAGGGTCTTCAGTCCCACATGGTCAAGTAAGGTACTATATGAGTTTGACTTAGCCATGTTTAAAAGAGTTCTAATGGCATACTGATTAGTGAGCTCCAGTTTGTTAGATAGGCCAGATGATAACCCAACTAAGACTGGAGCACAGTACTCTAAGTGTGGCAATATAAATGCCTTGTAAATATTGACCATCACTTCTGAAGGTATGAATTTACGAACTCTCCTAAGAGCACTAACTTTCGCATTAACCTTATTAATGATGCTCGTGATGCCTCCGCAGCTATTCGAATTGAAAATGATCGACTAAAGGCCGACCTCAATCAAGCGCAGAGTCAGCTAGAATCCCTATTAGAAGAAATAAAAAATCAGCTAAGTAAGACCAGCATCAAAGTTAAAACTAAGGAGAAGGAGGAGAAGGTCGCCAAGGATGTGTGGACATCGATCAGATGTAATCCCAGGTCAGGTCCACAGTCCTGAGGTGGGGCGAATGCTCGGCGACGTCGCTGAGAAAATTAGAATTAACAGCACCAGCCTACTGCAAGCGTTGGAAACAATGCTGGGTGACAGTAGCCCTCAGTTTTTGCAATCTCTCGGAGTACCAGACAGGACCCTGCGGTTTTTCAAACTGCAGTCGAGGATCCTGGAAGCTTGCCAAACGTTAAGCCCCGTCTACACGAGCAATTTTTATATGGCAATTTTTGTGGCAATTTTTATTTGCCCATGTAGATGATGAAAAATGACCAATTTTTATGTGACAACTGCATTTGCTGAAGATAGATAGATAGAGAGATAGTTTATTAGAATATCGAACATGGCAGTCCTAGACTGAATTGCGTTACTATTACTTAGAACTAGGACTAAATGAGTTCCAAATACAAGTTGAAATTATAATAAAACCATAAATGCGAAAAACTCTCTATATATGACTATGTACAAGCTAGTCTAAAAAAAATTTAAATTTGTGTATACATACTTGGAATAAAAGTGTTCTTAAAACGATTTGTATGTGTACGGGGCATGACATGAGCCCTGGACTGTCTTAGATTATGTCTGTGTTCTCTCTTAGGAGGTAAGACAGGCACGAGTTTGTGATCCGGGCATGACGTGATAGACTCGAAAGCTTGCTACACAGAGCCACGCGTCTCGCGTACAAGGTTACCAAGTCGAATCTGGCCAAACATACGAAATATGACGCATAAGGACAAATGATGGAGAGCGCTCTCCTTTGCACTCGTTCAATGTCGTCGCTAAGATACTGTGGGAGCGCGTGATGGAAAACTGGCGCACAGTACTCTAAAACAGATCTTATCACGGTGCAATAAAACTTTATAATGTCGCTGAGTGGAACGTTGGCGCGCTTCAGAAGAACAATAAAATAAAGGCTGTCGTGTTAGTGTTTGAAAAGCTGGCGTGTTAGTTTTTATGTGGCAAATAAATAGTGCCACATAAAAAAATTGTCCGTGTAGACGAGACGCCGCCTACAATGTGACAAACGCGCCTAAAGCTGCAACACGTCTGGCACGTCTTCTGACTTTCGCCATCTTGCTTTTTTCCTGTCCATGAGCATCTCCGCTGTGCAAAATCATTACTGACGCAAATTGACAACAAATATTAATCGAGCCATCTACACAGGCAAATAAAAATGGCTACATACACTTGCCACATAAAAATTGCTCGTGTAAATGGGGTCTTACTTAGCATTTCCAAGCTAGGACGAACCGGTGTAAGTCTTAAAGTTATTATATTTTTATTAATGTCGGAAAAAGTGTATTTGCTTTCTCATGTTTTGTTGTGAATGTTGGTTTTGTGGTGTATTAGAACTCATTTCTGCTTGGCAGGGAAATCACATAATACCGTTAAATTTCATTAAAAATCCAGCAAAGTGCCTGAGTTTGATTTTGCAGCTTATAAGTCTTCGATGATCACTTTTTATGGCTACATTAAGAGAAATATCCGGTTTGTTGCCTTGACAAGGTCTTGACAGTATTATAATTTACTCCATTTCTATTTTTCTGCGGTAAGAGATTTAAATCGCCAGAGGGATGCCATTGAGAATTTAACTGGAATAGTGGTTGATGGAAGATGTTTTAAAGTTAAATTTCTAGGTTATTTATGTCTGCCAATCTTGACTTTTCATATTTTTTTTTATCTTTTTATTTTTATTTTTGCAATGTTTGTATGTTACATGTCAAGCCATGTTATAGTATTATTGAATCATTTTATGCTTGGCAGTGTTAAAAAATATCTGGGAAAATGGTCTTTTGGTGTTCAATTGAAAGTCTACCTTTTGAGATCTATGGTGTGGCTATTTAAACTTCAACTTGATATTATTTTCTTGTCTTTTTTTCATGACAGTTACTCTTGATTACAAAGCACTGATATTGCTACTCAAGCAAAAAGGTGGTAGTGCCGACAAATATAGCAATGAACTTTGCAAGCGAGGATTGGACACATGCAGAGTGCTGTGTATTCTGCAAAGTTATGAAGGTCGGTTATACCTGCAATTGCTAAATGACATGCATCATAACAGAATTCTACAATAACACAAAACATATTCAGGTTACTGGTATTTGTGTTGCAATTTATTTGTAATCAATTAGTGAGAGCTTTCTTGGCTTTCTTGACTTTATGGAAAGGCAGAAATCTTTCCACAAACATGAACGTATTTTATCTGTGGTGAAGAGTGATTATATATCTACAAATAGTAGTGAACATTATATGACTTTAGCCCAGTTAATTCATTATTAAGTTATACATGCACTTCATTTATAGGAATGTGCCTGTCCTGATGTTCCTCGTGGGGAAGCCTTTGGTGAGTGTTTCCCAAAGAGCAAAGCAAATATTGGGGGGGGTAGGTACAACTCTGCATTTCTGTATTGACATGCATAAAAAAGTCCAACTTACAGTATGGTACTTCACTTTCTGTTTGGAACCCATGTCTTTAAATCTCACTTGGGATACTTTGACAGACAGTTACCAGCAGAAATATGGTAGGTTTGGATTATAAAGGTGGAAACTAAATTCACTGTTTTTTTTTTCTGTCTGTTTCAGACGGATGGGGTTAAGAGATGACTTGCTCTTTCTCCTTGAAGAGGAGCCATGTGACGTCAATTTATGTGCTCTGCATGCAATGTATAACATTTGAATTTTTAAATTGTGTGCACCCGTTGTAGTGTGACACAGTCAACAGTGTTTTATTTGAAAGAAATCTATTTTCTTGAAGTTTAATCCTGTAATAATAATCTTTTGTTTAGTGTTGCCTGGTCACTTCTGAGATATGTATTAATTTGTCATATTTCTTAGATTGATATAGCACTCAGCGTAATGCCTGAGGGCTTCTGGGATATATAGCAAACTTAGTTTTTCATTCACGGTCAATGTAGGGAAGTGTTGTCTATCCTTTCTGGTTCACCCAGGCTGAAGTCCTGGCATTCAGTGTACTGCCTGAGCGCTTCTGGGAGATATGATATACTTAGTTTTTCATTCATGGTTAATATAGGAAAGTGTTGTCTATCCTTTCTGGTTCACCCAGGTTGAAGTCCTGGCATTCAGAGTAATGCCTGAGCGCTTCTGGGATATATGATATACTTAGTTTTTCATTCATGGATATTATAGGGAAGTGTTGTCTATCCTTTCTGGTTCACCTAGGCTGAAGTACTGGCATTCAGTGTAATGCCTGAGTGCTTCTGGGATATATAATATACTTAGTTTTTCATTCATGGTTAATATAGGGAAGTGTTGTCTATCCTTTCTGGTTCACCCAGGTTGAAGTCCTGGCATTCAGTGTATTATGCTTGAGCGCTTCTTGGATATATAATATACTTAGTTTTTCACTCATGGTTAATATAGGGAAGTGTTGTCTATCGATCCTTTCTGGTTCACCCAGGCTGAAGTCCTGGCATTCAGTGTAATGCCTGAGCGCTTCTGGGATATATAACAAAGTTTTACATAGCTTTTCATTCATGGTCAATATAGGGAAGTGTTGTCTATCCTTTCTGGTTCACCCAGGCTGAAGTCCTGGCATTCAGTGTAATGCCTGAGC